TCCGTTACACTTTCAGCAATTTTTGATGGTGACGTTTTCATCAATGGTGTTTGTTACCTTCAAAAATCTCTCTGTACTAATAAACTATATATATTATACTATTCCATACTCAAAGTTGGAAATGATCTCTCTCTTTTTCACTGACTAGTAGCATTTTGAAAATACGATTTATTTATTGTTTTCTTTGCGTTGTCGATCATTAAAAAAAAATTAACTTAGTGATCGACACTATATGAGATTACTTAGTTTTGATTTAACTAGGCTGTAACACCCCTAATAGACTATGTAGATCCTTATGGTTATCAATAACATCCCGGTTTTTCAATTAGTTATCACCCCGGTTTTTTAATTAGCTATCATACCGGAAATTTACATAATAATAATATTTATTATTATTTCATTTATGTTTATTATGTTTATTATTATAATTTTTTTTTTCTAAATACAACAAAAGCAAGAATTACAACGATTTCATATCATGAATCAATTATAAACATTTAAAATTTAATCTTTTGGTGCGATTTGAAGATTTATTTGAACATTATTACAGTTTTTTATAGAAATTTTCAGCAAACTGTAGCTAGCATTGTTTTTTTCACGAGGAATTGTAATTGTCTGTCCATTAATAGCTGCTAATTCCACATTTGCCAATTTTAATCTTTGAGCATCTCCACCACAAAAACCACACAAGAAACATAACCAGAAATAGGTTTTGTAAGTGGTGGATAATGGCGTGTCTTTGTTTAACTCAGGATGTGTTAAAATTTGGTAATTTCATCATATTCAAGTGAGTCAGATTTTTTCTGTTTGATTATGCTTAAATCTTGTATTTTTTAATTTTTCCATCTAAATGTTTGTGAAGTCTTGGAAACATACATTCATCATAAAGATCTGGAGCAGGAGAAATTTTTGAATTTTCCCATAAATACCTATGTATAGCAGCAAAGCAATTTTTTTTGATGTTGGTGCATATGGTGATTTGTCTTTTTTGTTTAACACTTGAAAAAATTGAATCAATTCTTCTTGTAACTGATTTATAACAACAATTTCACTAATGTCATAATTGTATCCCATTTTTGTTCTAACATCTGTCAGAACTTTCAACCAGAATCTTGTATTGCGAGTAGTATTCTTAACTTCACCATAATTTATTGTGTCTTTGATTTCTTTGTTTGTAGGTATATGTACATTATTATTTGACTATAAAAAAAAAAAAATAGAAAATTTTAAAATATATTATAGGAATATATCAAAAGAATCCACTCTATCAAAAAGATCTCAGTTTCTTCAAGAGAATTATTATTATTTGTGGTTTCAATTTCAGAATTAATTGATTTGACATTTGTAATTGCTTCTTCAAGAGGATCATTCATAATGTCAAATTCATTGGAAATCAATATTGTACAATTAGTGCCTATATAGTATTACAGTATTACCATTACAAAAACAATAATCATATTACTAACTTTTTCTTTTTCTTTTCGACCCAGAAAATTATTGATTTCCTTATCTTCTAACAATTTAGTCTCTGTGTGGATAGGTAATGCAGAACATTGTGTTATTGACTTCTGACATCCATTAGAATTAGATGCGTTATCAAATGTATTTTCCATCTGTTCAGGAGTATTGTCAGGATTTATTTCAGAAGAAATGGTGTTCTGTGTTTTCTCTAAAGGCTCAGAATCAATATCATCAGTTGAAGATTGTTTGTTATGCAAAATCCTCTCATTAGAGAGATCTTTGTTAGGTGATGAATTAGGTGAGATATTTTCAGTTGTGCTGGCTCCACCAATAGAAGACGTGTCTTGCACATAGTAATAACTTGAGTTTGCTGTTTGAGCTCCTCAAAATTGTGCCTTAATTTAACTACTTCAGCTTTAAGCTCAACATTTTCAGCTTTGTGTCTGGCACTCTCTCCCATAACATGTTCTGGAATTCTAACCTCAAGCTCATCTTTTTCTTTTGCAATCTGTTCCAATTCTTTGATTCTAGCCACAAGTCTGGCATTCTCCTGTTTCAATAAATCTAGTTCAGATTTGGTGTTTCCCATTGTTTTATATGTTCAAAAGTTTGTTTATATGAATACCGCAACAAAATGTCTCAATCAGAATTATGACATTTCATAAATGCAAATGAGTGAGATTTCATTCTAAGCTTAGAGTAAGGCTACAAATATAACAATCATGATTGTTGTGATCTTTTAATTCTGGATCAATAGCATAGTTTTTTGATAAGTGAAATGAGTTGATCTGATAAATAAAAGGAAAATTTTTCAATTAATCAGTCAAAAACAGATTTATTTCTAGTTCAGGATTTATTCAGCTAATTAATTGATTTTACTGCAAAAATAATTCAGAAACCTATCCTATTTAAGCTGTGTTGACTTCAAAGAAAGGTTTATCAAAGTCTTCTATGCCATTAATAAATTAAATGGGATTGGTGCAATACAAATGTGTCCAGAGTCACATTGCCATATTTTCATGATTTCCCTGTTTAATAAAATTCTCAGACCAAAAAGTTAATATAAATTTATTATTTTTAATTAATTATGACAAAATAATTTTTTCCCACAAAAACATTTCATCAGGTATCATTTAATCATGGATGCATTTTTGACATTTAACTTAGTATCAGTAATTTTCAATTAGCCATCATTTATCATTCTATTTTATTTATTTTATTGGACAAAAAGTCATGTTATTTGTAATACTTCAAGAAGTATAAATATGCTTGAAATCTCCTTCAGTGAAAAAAAAAAATTAAAATAAATAATTGATCTTTCAATAATAACACTGGTAATAAAAATAACACTTTCATAAAAATGGTCCTTGGCTGTAATTAATTAATAAATCTGGCATTATTGATTGATTCATAACCCTTTCTGATGATTAATGGTTTGGCCAACTTTTAATTATTAGTTAGGAACCTCTTTTATAAGTTTTATTATATTGCTTGTAGGGACGCCTCAAGTAGTGTAGTTATATATGATGATTTTAGTTTAGTTTGAACATTATTGGTTATGTGACAGATTTGGTGACGCTGCAATAGAGTTTTTATTTATAATACAAATTTTTGTTCAAATTATTCAAATCATTAGATTTGTTTGAATTGTTATCATTCGTTTATTATTCAAATTGTTATCATTCGAATTGTTCATTTTATTCGTTTTGTGAATTATTCAAATTATTTCGTTTTATTTGAATTATTCGTTTTATTCGAATTATTCGAATTACTATTATTATTCGAATCACTCGAATTACTCATTTTTTTTTTCTTGTTCATGTGTCACAAGGAACTTTAAATGGAAGCTTCATTTAAAACGATTTGGAAATTTAACAAGACCGACTATGTTGAAAAATCACCCTCTAGAAAAGATGGTTTTACTTATGAAAAAGAAAACCGTATAAGAGTGAAAACAACGCAATTCATTATTCAAGTTTGTTACCATCTGAAGCTGTAAGTATTTATTTCTATTGCAATCATTTTAATAAGTTTTTTCCCTAAAAGATCTTATTTTTATTTTTAGTCCTCAAATCACTGTATCTACGGCTATAACCTACTTTCAGCGATTCTACATGTTAAACAGTTTAGCAAAGTTTGATAGCAAGGTGGAACTCTACATCATATACATTTATATATTACGCTTATATGCATTTATTTATATGATTTATACAATCTAAAGGCAGTGGCAGGTGTTTGTGTATTTTTGGCATGTAAAGCAGAAGAATCGATCAGGAAAATGCTTGATGTTGCAATATCGTGTGCAAGGGTTTACTACGGAGACCCTAACAGATTAGAGAAAGTGGTAATTTGGTTGCTATTATTATTATATTCATATAACATATGCTGGATTATTATATAATATGTTTATTTATTGAAATGTTTCAGGAATATGAATTTTGGAGATCAATAATAAAAATATTGGAACCAGTTGTGTGTACATCATTATGTTATGATTATTCAGTTGAACATCCTTATCGTGTTTATATAAAGTATATGAAAGTATTGAAAGGTAGTCAATGGATATGAAGGAGATAATGAAAATGAAAATGGAGATGATAATAATCATTGATTAATTAATTAATTTTTAGGTTATAGTCAAGATGTTATAAGAAAATTGGCAGAAGGAGGATGGTCGATAATAAATGAAACGTGAGTTAATTGAATGATTGGACAAACATTTATTGGAGAATGTTCAATGCTTGATTAATTTCTTTTTTTCTCGAATTTTCAGCTATAAGACACCATTATCTCTTTTTTATAGTCCAACAATCATAGCAAGTGCTACCTTATTGATTTCAGCTAAAGCTGCAGGCATAGAATTTAATAATTATAGTAAAGTTAATGGATATGATGAGGATGTTAATGATAATGATAAAGATAAAAATGATTTTACTGAAGGGTCAGTTTGGTGGTTATTGTCTCATAGAAATAATGAAGCCACAACCGGTAATTTAATAATTATAATTATAATAATAATAATAATAATAATAATAATAATAATAATAATAATAAATCTTTTAACTATGATTTCAAATTACATCACTTTATATTTGATACTAGAATGTGTCAATGATCTTCTCGATCTTTATAATTTTTCAGATATTCAAAATTCAATATCAACCACTAATAATTCATCATCAACATCATTAAAAAAAGATAAAAATGTTAGTAATTATTTTGATTATGATCATGATAATGATAATGAGCATAAACATGACTATCAAAAGTCCAGTTATGTGAGTAATAAATATAGTACGCCTGATTTCAATAATGTTGATTCTTGTGATGTGAGATTTGAGTCAATAGCAGAAAAACTAGAGCCTGATTTAGAGCCACCGCGTGGTTTGCTTGATAAAAATGATGATGTTGTTGTTGAAGATGATGAAGAGGATGAAGATGGACAAATTTTTGAAGATGATGATGAATATGATGGTGAAGGTGTAATAAACGATCAGATGGAAGAAATTAGTAATGAAGGATTAGATGATGGTGAAGAATATATCGGAGTTAATGATTATGAGATTGGAGTTAACAAAAATATTCGTGATAATGAAAATGTAAAAGGTGATAATAATGGTGATGGTGAAATAGAACAATTTGATGGTGCAAAGTATGAGGTTGATGATTTTGATGTTGATAATGATGACAATAATAATAATCATAACAATGAAAATGAAGAAGACAACAATGATGATGGTGATAGTATGATTGTTGATGATTAGAATTGGATACTATCATCATCATTAATGGATATTTTTAAAACTATTTTTAAAACAATTTTCCCTTTCTTTTTTTATTTAGATAACATCATACAAACTTTTTTTATGTACATAGCATTAACGCTTAAATTAATAATAATCCACATTTTTCTGCAGTCATATGTGCTGTAATTTCATACTCTAACGATAAAAGTTCCAGAGTGACGTAAAGTTATTCATTTTTGAAAATTGCATATCTAAGATATCTTTCGTTATTAATAGATGGCTTCAAAATTAAAGTTTATGGTTAGAATTTTTACGGAAGAGAAAATCATGTAACCATTGTAAATTACAAAAATGTGAAACGAGACCATTTGTACGGAATTTTACTTGGTGCGCCTCAACCACTTGTTATAAAACTCTTTGCAAATTCTTTTGATTCTTTTTATCAAAATAATTCCCAATTGGTGGCTATGACTAGATTAACAATTTTTGATAACCATAATTTTAATAATGATATTCAATATCATTCATTACTTACAAATTTCATCACAATAACAACAATGATTTTTTCACCTATTTCTATTTTCTGATGCTTCGATCAAGCAAAGTTGGAGTGTAATTATAATGACAACAACACTACCATTTCCCTGCTATTTCTACTACTTGAAGTAGATTCTTTTATTAATTCGAAACCAAACTCCAACTTCCCTTCTTATATACATCCAAATGCCTTCTCGTGCAAAGTTTTAGATTCTGAACCAAATTTGTAGCTAAAGCATCACGTGAAAGTTGTCGATTTTTTTTGATCTGCCCACTTGGAAAAAAGGTTTTATTCGGCATAATTTTTTGTAACACGGTTTCGCGCTGCATTCAAGAAACATTCTGCTGCTATTCATTACAATTAATATTAGTACATGTACGTAAACAAATCCTGCTAATATTAATATTAATCTACGATTCGCCGATCAATTTAAAATAGATTTTTTCGATTATCTTTAAAAATCGCATTATATAGTGAATCATTGTGCTCAAGTAAGTGGGATGACTCTTTAAAAAGTTTAGCTCTTGGGTGGTGGGTTACGGATGATTAAACTAAACCAACACCTAGCGATATTCCCTTTGCCAGCTTCTAGAAAACCGAAAGCTTTTAGATCAGAATTCGATAAAAAATATTGGTGCTGTGAATTGGATATATAACAAATAAATGTTCAGGGTCAGTTAATATTGATATAAAAAGTATTTTTACGAGAAATTAGATCTTTAAATGGGTTATCCCAAAAGAATTAAAAACAATATATGTATTTATGTTGTGAGTTAGATCAAATTTGTGTCAATTTGAAATGTATTAATTAAATTTTGAGGTAGGGTGTTTGTAGGGATATCAAATTGCTCCCGATTACTAGCCTTAGTTTTAAGTGATGGTTTAGGTATAACTCGTCAAGACGAGACTACGGTTATATTGGATACTTTTACTCGATTTAATACAATTGAGAATTAACCATTTTTTCTTCCTAAATCATTTGAGGAAATTGATTACCTTTTTTAATTTAAAATTTTTCAATGGGCCAACATAAAAAATGTAAATGGACAAGTTAATAAACAGAAAACTTTTTTAAAAGAATTTATAGTTTCATTAGTTATTTCCCATTGCTCTGGTTAAAAGCATTGGATATGGAGATAACGTGCCTATAATCGTTATATATATCTCTAATGAATTTGTAACTCATACAATAGATTCTCAAGTTTTGGAAAGAGGATTTGCCGTTGAAGATGCTAATTTTTATTCAATTATGATATTACGAAAATTATTAATAATTATTTAAAATTAAAGCGATCGGCTTGTCCATTCGAAGAAATTTTAATGTATTTTTTATTTTCCAGATAATGTAAAATACCGAATACAGTCAAAAACTTTTTTACTTTTAACGTTTCTCAAGGAGTCATTAAACATTTTTATTTATTCACATTCTAACTCTTCCTTTTGCTAAAGAAATAAAGTTGATCCGACTTGGCCCTTAAGAATATGATGCGATGATGAAGTTAACGAGGGATCCGAATTTATTGATATTTAGTGGTTTACTTCATTTTTTGAAAACTTTTCTTATATTCAAGCACTTTGTTCCAAATGGCCACCACGAGGCAAATGATCCCTGCAATAAGAAGAAAGCCATAAAACGTCTTTGCAGTTATGTTTTATTATTTCTTATATTATTTATATTGTTAATTATAATCATTTTTAACATTATGATGTTTAATCCACTTCCACTTTTATCTCTTTCTGCGTTCGAGACATCTATATGCAAGTAAATTAGCAGGCAAGGTAATATGTCAACACACTCTTTTTCTAATAAATTTGAAAAATTAGCAAAATGGTTATAGGTGAACTTATTCACATTATTCTAGTTCTTCTTCACAAATAAATCTTTCGATTCTCAGATTAAAATAAGGCAGAAGTAGGTAAATTATTGTTACAACTATCAGCAGATTTTGAGTTATTTTCATCATTCCAGCCATGGTGATAACAAGAAAGGAGCTTGCATAGCGTGAAAAGGATAATTGATCTGACACTTAAACTCAATACGTTTAGATTAATCATTTTCCTTTTCTTTTTCTTTTGGGAAATGAATCGTAATTTAGACCTGAAATCTTTTGATAGTAGAGTGTTAACATGACCCCGATTCAAATTACAAAAGAGGAACCAAAGTAAATTCGTAAACTAATTAATTGACAAGAATTGAATTAACTGACAAGAGTAGCCCAAAAGTTAAGCCGTGACTACCATGCAATATCACCATTTAACAAGAATCAGAAAATTGTGAAAAGTTTATTTACTTCAAAATATTAAGTAATTTAGCTTTAAGGAATGAAATAAAAGTGATTATAACGAATAAATTTATAGTGGAGAGAGATTAAGTCACTCGTCGATTTTTTCTTTTAATAATGTTTAAAATATTGTTAGTAATAATTAATGGATAGATAGCAATTTCCAATTAATTAATTAATAATGAAATTTTATTCACCTTCGGCATTTAGAAGGAGAGACTTAAAATCAAGATTATTTAATGAGCTGTCATTACTTGTATAACTTTTAAAGATTTTTGATCTAGCTATTTCTTCATTTAATATTCTACTTGTATGGTATGCACCTGGATGTGATTTATGTACTTGTTCCAAAACACTACTACCATCATTATTAAAATCAATTTCCTCGTGTTTATTTATAGCAAATTTACAAAGCTCTCCAATAGTTGGTCTTTTAGATGTATCCACATCCCAACACCTCTGCATCATTTGTACATAATCATCAGGCATTCCTGGTAATATTGGTGGTCGTAAACCTTCTTCACATATATCAAAAATTAAATGATGATCATGAGCTCTATCATCAAATGG